TCCTGTAGACTAGATGTATGATGCACTCAATAAGGCGTTAGCTTATAAACAATGCATTCGCTATTTTTTAAAATTTCTACTCTAGCCACGGAAGAATCTAAAGAGGGATGTCATAATGTCACATTATATATGAAGAAAAAAAAGCAATCAGTAGTTGGGAACTCTGGAAAATAAGAGCAGTAGGGAGAAAAGTTGGGGGAGGCACTCGACCTCGGATCGCCCGGACCTCACACAAAAGCCGCGTGTCCACAGCTCTTACCCAGCTCCGCCACCCGCTGCCCTCCATTGTGACCCTCGGTTGAGTCGGTTCCTGGTTGACCTGAGCCGGTGTTCTCAGCCGGTGGCCTCCTCGCCTGCCTTGCCGTGAAATAGCAGGTGATCAGCGGAAATGTCCTGTTTCCTCCCGGAAACTGACACATTTATTCGCAGCCACTCTCGGCTCCTCCCCACCCGTCCCCGCCCTCTCTGTGCCTCCGTGGTTTTTTCAAGTGTTGTCCATTGAACAAAAAATGCTCGTAGTAATGGGGGGCGGGTGGTACACCCCCACGGCCACTTCCATTGCGAAATCATTGCGAAAGCAGTCTTGTTTTGAGAATTGCGAATTTAATGTTTTAAAATCTTTAATGCGAAAATAACGGAAGTCAATAATTCAGTAACCTAACCAGTTCGAAAATTCAAATTGCCAGCATTGTGATGTCTGACAGAGTGATCGAACAAGGCATGGGTGACATAACTGTAGATTTAAGACGGTCTAATACTTAACATTTTAGTTACTTGAGAGAGTGCCAGTCATTTAGAATATGGATTCTTTCAATAAGCACAGAAAGGGAATCCTTCATTGTGCGAAGCCATATTCTTTTCACGCTGCTAACAAATGACTGAAGGAACCATCAGCTCCGCATGTGCCACACGCGTCCACCTCAGCGACCTAGCTGCACGGGTAGCCCGCTGGGTCGCCCGCGCTGTGCCACGCCCAGACGCCGCTGTTCCCCGGGCGAGACCGACACGCGCAGGGGATCCTGCCACTCAGCATCCAAACCCACGCGCCTTACCTCGGTCGTTCACGATGTGGCTTACGGGTCTCCCAGTCTTGTTGGGAGTCCCTCCTCCATCGGCACCCGGCAAGGAACCCACCCCAAGCGTCCCGCTTCTTCGGATGAGAAGGGTTCTCACATGTCTGTACCCCATCGCTTAGCACCTGTCATTCATTCTAATGTTTATTTTTAATGGATCTTCCTGGCTACTTCTGCTCTTCTCTCCTTCGAAAGTAAGACCTGACGTCGATACTTCTGGGAAATGCCCTTCTCTGTCCCCATCCCTTATCGGTCGGTTCCTTGCCTCGGGCACTTACTGTGTCCATCACTGTTCTCTCCGTAACCGTCTGTCGTCTCTGCCACCCCTCCTCACACCAGTGTCCTCATTAGACGGTGACACCCCTTTTCCACCTGTGATGTCTACCGGTGTGCCAGGCACAGTGTAGGTGCGGAGTGAGGGTGTTTTCTTTTGTTTTGTTTTTTAATATATGAGATTACTTATTTCATTAGGAACGGCTGCTTCTTTTAATGTATTATTTTGCCAGAAGTATAAGTCATATCTGCATGATGCTCCTTATTTAAAGTCATTTCAGTTTTTTTTTTTTTGGATGAGGGGGGGATGTTTATTTGGTTTATATTTTGTCTGACAGCTCTCTCCGACCCTGCATCGCTCGTGGAAAGATCATAGCCAAATTAGTAATCCAGCTTCATTACTGCGAAGGACCCTATGGCTTGTGTATTATGTCCTAACTGGATTCTTGACTTCTAGTCTTCCCCTGTTTAACGACTCTTCATTTTATAGTCTAGTCTGCCTTGTGTCCAGACGACTGGCCACATAGCTTTCCAACAAATATTCAGTTCCTCCTTTGTGAAAAAAAATTTTTTTAATTCAGTGATCATTTAAAAACTGCACAAGCTTTAACCCTACAAAGGCAGTGTCGTCCCTTCGTGTTAATATGTATTTTACAAAGTCGAAAGCATTTCTCACTTCCTATTTAGACATCACGTGATCCTTAGTCATATAAACCGTGGTCCGATGTTTAGTAGGTGTTTTTCGAAAAGAGAATAAGGTAATCACTTTAAACCTAGTATTTGGCTCGTACCCTCGCACGTGGCGGCTTCTGAGGTTCTCCATTGTGCATCATTTGAGAAACAGGATGAGAGGTCTGTGTGGATAACGTTTCATTATAGTAGTTAACAATGTAAGCTATCCTTGATGAAGTTCTTAGTACGTGTCAGGCATTTTGCTTCCCTTCTAGATACTTAGAAGGGTTCACATTTTAGAGGTAAAGAAACAGGTTCTGATAAAGCGAGCGGACCTGCCTAAAATCACAGTAAATAACGGGGGGCCATCGGACTGTAGGTCTTTTCTCTTACCCTGACCACATTTCTCCACTTTGCGAGGTCTGGTGGTGATCATTAAATCGATAAGCATTGATAATTCTAATGTTCCAAGATATTTACGTGTTATTTTTAGGCCCGTTTAAATGAAATACCAGTAAGTGCAAAGTCGCTAGGGAATGGACTAACCCCAGAAACTTAAAAAATCAGTTTTAGGGGTAAGATTCACACTTTCATGGATGTAAATGTCATTAACTAACATATCTAATTTGATCTTATCGAGATTATTTCTTACACGATTATTTCTCTGGACTTTTTTGAATTCCGCAATACTTTTTAAATAACCAAAGGGTGCTTGTGGTATCTGCAAAAAGTCCTCAGTTCGAAATCTGTCCCCAGCAGAACTGGGAGGAGGGTGGCTTTTGCCCTTGTTGGCTTGTCTTTTCGAGCTCTAAGAGTTCTTCAAATATCCTGAATCCTAGACCATTATCAGATATGTGATTTGCAAATATTTTCTCCCATCCTGTGGCTTATCTTTTAACTTTTTTTTGCTAGTGTCCTTTAGTGCATAAGTTTTAAATTTTGGTGAAGTCCATTTAATCTGTATTTTCTTTGGTGGTCTGTGCTTTTGCCGGCACACTAAGAAATTTTACCTGAAACACTCCTTTTAGAGTTTCTTGTTGAACATATCTCTTAGTTTTTGTCCACCTGGGAATATCTGAATTTTTACATCTTTGAAGGATGGTTTTGCCAAGTATAGATTTCTTAGTCGACAATCTTCTTATTTGGGTCCTTGGAATATGGACCCCCATTGTCTTCTGTCCTCGTGGTTTCTCTGGAGACACCAGCTTTTGATATGATGAGCTTCTCCTGCACGTGGTGAGTGGCTTCTCTCTTGCTGATTTTTTTCTGTTTTTCAACATTTTGAAGGCAGCGTGTCTAGGTATGAGTCTCTTTGAGTTTATCCCACTTGGAACTTGTGGAGCTTCTTGGCTGGGGAGATGAAAGTTTTTCATCGAATCTGGAAGTGTTTGGCCTTTATCCCTCCAGATCATCTTGTGGCTCCTTTCTGTCCTCGCCTGGTTCTGTCTGTGTCTCCATGTTCGGCGGGGTCCCCCAGGCCCCTGAAGCCCTGTTTATTTCCCGTATCCTCTTCCCCCTCTTCCTCGCACTGGATAAGCTGGAAAACAAGTGATTGATTTTCACAGCCACTGGTTCTTTTTTCCGTCTAGTCGTAGCCGCTATTGAAACTCTCGGGTGAATTTTAGAATCGAGTTATTATATTTTGCAATTCAAGAATTTCTTTGGATTTTTTAAGAGTTGCTTTCTATGTCTTTATTACTATTCTCTGTTTGATGAGGCATCGTTCTCATACTTTTCTTGAGTCTTTTAGACATAGCGATTTAAACGTTTCGCCCCATGAGTCCAGTGCCTCAGCTTCCTCGGAGACAGTTCCTCTTGGTTACTCTTTCTGATGTGTGGATCATACTTTTATGTTTCTTTGCACGTCTCATAATTTTTTTTTGGTTTAAAACTGGACATTTGATGTGTCAACTGTGAAGATCAAATTCTTCTCCTTCCCCGGGATTTTGTTTTGTTTTCATTTTGATTTAGTGACTTTTTCAAACTAATACTATTATATATATATATAAAGTCCATATAGATCATGTGTTGCCACCGAAGTGTCTCTGCTTTGTTCCGTTAGTGATCAGCTAATGATTGGACAGAAGTTTTATCGAATGCCTGGAAACTAAGCCCCTTGTCTTCGCCCAGAGCCTATGGGTGCCTGTTGAAGCATGTCTTCAGCACCCAGCCAGTCAGCTTACAACTAAATCTACCTTAACTTTGCCCTTCCTTCTTATCCTGAACCTCAAGGTCAGTGCGAGGAGAGGGCTCAGGGCCATTATAGGTCTCCTGGGCATGTATGTGGCGCTGTGTGAGCACACAGTCATTTAGATTTCCAAGGATATGTCAGAGCTATTCAAAGCCTGTATGGCCAGCTCATTCCCCCACTTTTTCTTGTAAGCCTGTTGTTTGCCATGGTTTTTCTCCATCACCTCAGGCAGCAGAAATCTTAAATAATTGCCTTTGATTGTTTTTTTGAATACCCGTAGGGAAAAGGGGTCTTACACAGGTTGAGCTCCAAGTCAGGTGAGTAAAGGCATTCCTCTGGGAATGGGGTTTAGATATAGCTCTACCCTGTTCTGCCCTCTCCAGGGGCCTCTAGCCCGCTGGTTTCCATGGCGATTGTGGCGCTTGGATTTCATGGTTCCTACAGAGCTGGGAGTGAGGGATGAGGATAGGACGGCTTAAAACATCACGAAGCTCACCGTTTATACCAAGATTCTGCCATTAAAAAAATGCCCCTTAGATCTCTGCAAGCCTTTAGTTAAATTTCCAAGGTTGAAAAAATGTCCATTCTGACAGTTTTTGCTCGTTTCTCTTTGCTTTTTGCTTTTGAAGGTTCTCACTCCATCGTTTTCACTGATGGCACTCTGCTATTTTTCTTCACTCTGCAATTAGATATATCGTTAAAGCTAGCTGACTTAATAAAGATTCACTAAAAGCAGAATGCTCCTTTCTAGAAACTTCTCTGAACGCGTCCGTGCTTCTGTTGTATTCCAGGACTACGACGATGGATACAGCACTGCTTATGATGAACAGAGTTATGATTCCTACGATAACAGCTACGGCGCCCCAGCCCAGAGGTAAGGGTCCGTCGCGTGACCACACCCCGTAGCGGGCACGCGTGCCCTTGCGTGTCTGCGCGCTCCGGGGGAAGGACGCTGACGATCAGCTGGCGAGGGTAACTGGACTTGGCCTGCTCTGTGGTGTGTGTGCTCTCACTGCAGAAACGCCGTCCGACCAGCTAGCACGCGTGACTCCTCCCCAACGCACCGTCGCGTGAAAGCAATGGAGCCGGGGGAATAGAAATGGAAATTTTATGTGCTCCAGAAGTTTAAGCGTTCGGCACATGCCGAGGGGAATGATGTCTGCCAAGTCCATGCTTATTCAGGTCCCAAGGCCCGGCGTCACGCCGGAAGCGTGTAAGCGTCCCGCGTTGTCAGCGCCCAGGGGCAAAAGCGCCAAAAGTTCCGTTTCTTCGCGTCTGGGAAGCATTTCCATTTCTTATCAGCAGTGCTCCTGTTTTCTAACCACTTCAAATCCTATTTGTGAATAAGGAGTTAGTTCCTATTCATTTTCTAAATAAGTATTTACCCAGAAATAAACGTTATCAGAGGCAAAACAGAGCTTTATAGTTACCTCTTCTGATAATATACCTTGATGTTTATTGATATATGAAATCAGTGTCTATTCTGTTCAGGATGTTTTCCTAGAAGCCTAGAAACCTCTTGCTTTATGTTTGAAATTCTAAGTGGAAGACAAAGATAGACATTCATAAAAAATCTGGGCTACATGGTTGTTTTGATGAAGCATAAATTCACTTCTTAACTCAGACAGTGCCAGGCAAGCTTTGAACAGATAGGTACTCTTATTTGTTTAATACTGAGGTTCACAGGGATATACAAATGTATTTTCTTTTTGCTCATACCAATTTTTTTTTTTCTTATAAAACATAACAAATAAGTAGTCTTCAAAGTTTGACTCTCAGCTGGGCTTTTTAGTGGAAGCTTTGTGCATCATGTCCCCACCTGGGGCGTGTTGGCACATCCTGGGCTGGCTGACACCAGTACAGGGGTCCCCGGCCCCCGGGCCGCAGACCGGTACCCATCCGTGGCCTGTTGGGAACCAGCAGGAGGTGAGCGGCGGGTGAGCGAGCGAAGCTTCATCTGTATCTGCAGCTCCTCCCCAGTGCCAGCATCACCGCCTCAGCTCCACTTCAGATCATCAGGCATCAGATTCTCATAGGAGCACCGGGCCCTGGTGCCACAAAGGTTGGGGACCGCTGCGCTAGT